GGTATTTTGAGACAGGGTTTCTCTGGGTAGCTTTGGAGGTTGTCCTGGAACTCACTTTGTAAACAGAGATCTGCCTGCCTCTGCCTCCCCAGTGTGTGCGCCTCCACTACTTGACTTACTTTTTAAAAAATATTAAGTTGTTATTACTGTGCAGCTTTTACCTGGGTCCTGGGCATCCAAGCTGGGTCCTCATGCTCAGCTGGAAAACACTTTACTGGTTGAGCCATCTCTCCAGTTAACCGTTTAAAAGTGAGATTTTCCATTTGGGAGGACATACTCTTTTACTTCCCCTCTCTCCCCGATAGTTTTTTTTTTTTCTTTTTGTTTGGTCTGCCATCTGAACAAAAGCCTAATAGCCCTAGAGGTTGCCAATAAATGTCAAAATGCCTTGAAAGTATTTCATCTCCTTTTTTTTTTTTTTTTTTTTTTTTTTTTTTTAAACAATAGCTGAAGCTAGCCTGGCACTCATGTAGCTGAGGATGGCTTTGAAACATCCAGCTTCCTGCCCCCACCTCTCAAATGTTGTCATTACAGGGCTACACCACCATGCTTGTCACCTCCCCCCTCCCCCAGCCCCTGCCACCTCTCAAGCCACTGGATCTTTGCTTACAGAAACAGCACTGACAAAGGTCACTAGCAACTTCCTTGTTTGTGAATCCAGTGTCATCTCTGAGATTTTGTTTACCTTATTCATCACCAGCTCTCAACACTTTTCTCCTTGGCTTCCATCCCCTAGGCTACATACCAAAAGCTTTCCCTATCACTCAAACAATTCAACTGGCCTTCCTCCTTCTCACAATCCCCAATCCAGACTCTGCATGGCACTAAAACAACTTCCTGCTGTCTTCATGGTAAATCTAAGCCCGTGTGTTCAAAGGTGTAAGAAACACTGGAAAATCTATTACCATTGGCACCGTCTGTCTGCACTTTCCAATATGAGCGCGGCATCAAATGCTGCCCTGGGCCTGCACCTGTCCTTCCAATGTTTTTTTTTTTTTTTTTTTTTTTTTTTTTTTCATCAGTCTCCCCTCTGGCCAGAAGACACTTCATGTCCTTTCTTGTACTCAGCCTCTCACTGTTCCTCTTTTAAACTTTTCCTCCTTGAGTTCTTACCTTCCCTTTCTTCACAAGTCTTTCACGACCCAGCTCCACAACTACTCTGTTGTCATAAATGCTATTTCTCTTGGGGACTGAGCTTCCCCAGCACTCACTCTTATGAAGTATTTGTCCTTCCCATCGGATTAGAAGTGGTTCAAGCACGGTTCTTTCCTCTGTCGCATTAAGACCATAAGGACCATTGCAGTGGTTCCCAACCTTCCTAATGCTGAGGCCCTTTCATACAGTTCCTAATGCTGTGGTGATCCCTAATCATAAAATTATTTCGTTGCTACTTCATAAGGGCAAATTTACTTCTGTTATGAATCATGATGCAAATATCTGATAAGAGGGGTCGTGACCCACAGACTGAGAACCGCTGAACCAAAGGCCGGCACTCACTAGCACCCAAAGATTTGTACGTTGTCCAGTCTCTGGCACATACAGCTGATCAGTAAATACTAAGTGCAAGAAAGCTGTACCCGTCTAACCCAGTTGGACTCACCCATGAAAGGGCATTCCTTAAGTCATTACCTGGAGACCCCTTCCCAGCCAGGCAACCAGTCTGCCACCAGTGGGACAGCCGGTCGGCACGCGCCGCCTTAGGCTGTTTTTTTCGTTTTTCTGCCTCCAACCCGTGAGCTGAGGCTGGTGATGGAGGTAGACGTAGTTAGAGGGGCAAGCCCAAGTTTTCTCCCAGGTACGAGAAGACAAAATTCTGAGATGCCCATAATACTTCAACTCCCCAACCTACTCTTACCTTCACAGGAGGGTGGGGACGCTCCAGGAGCACCGCCCGCTGACCAATACTTGATCTAGATCAAGAGAGTCAGCCAATTGCTGTGGGCGGAAGACAGGAGGGGCGGAGCGTGGTTGCTAGGGCCTGGCTAGTGGGTGAGTCCGGAGGCGCCGAGCGACTCGGTGGTTGCTAGGAGGGAGGTCACAGAACGCGGCTCGGGGATTGGGCATCGCCGGGCGTGGGCGGGAGGGGTGGGCGTGGCCCGGCGGCGTCCGGTCCAGGCGAGGTGAAACTGCAGGAGTTCCGGCAGGAGGCCCGTGCTGACGGCCCGCACCTTCACCATGGCCTCGGCCGAGCTGGATTACAGCATCGAGATCCCGGATCAGCCCTGCTGGAGCCAGAGTATGGAGGGGGGTTGGGGAGGTAGCCCAGCAGCAACGCCCCGCCTGCCCCGTGGCCCCGCCCTCTCGTGGCCCGCCCCCTCCGGGGTCCGCAGGGCCGGATGGTGCTTGAGGGGCGCGCAGAGCCCCGCCCATTCGCCCCGCCCCCCAGTCGACTGAGGGTCTTTCTGTTCCACACCAGATTCTCAAAGTCCCGTGTTCTGCTTCCCTTTGTGGCTGGAGGCCTCTCGAGGTTCACTCTAATTCTTTTGTCTTGGATCGGGCTCCCCATTTCTCGCCCCTCATCGCCTAGTGTGGCTAGGCCTACCCTTCATTTTCCAGAACGAATGGAGTCCTTGGGGAGCCTCTGGTCCCCAAAAGCCCAGGGGCTCAGCATGCCGAGTCCGCCGCTTCTCCACGATCCTTGGTAGTAGTTAACAGAACCGTCTATTAGGCCGGCTTGAACTCTGTGGAAATCCTATCTCCTTCCTGCCTTTAGTAATTGGATAACCTTCAGTAGACTTTCAACTCTGAATTTCAGTTTTTCCCTCTCTGCAAAAATGAGGAAAAATTGCTGGTTGCACAACCGAGATTATTTGTGTAAAGGACTTGGCATAGGTCCTGATGGAAATGAATTCAGTAGTTGGCACTTAGAATTAACAGCGTTTACCCCCTATATTCATATCACTAAGAAGGATGTGTGGGAGGCTTCACGAGATTAGTAGCTTGTAAAGCAGTGTAAGTTGTTTGTTGGACCAGAGAATGGAAGGTTGTCCCTGTTGGAAACGGTGGCAGAGGAGGCCTGGAGTACAGGTTGGTCTCTGCTTCTGCTCTTTGGTCTATTTGGAATAGTGTTTCCAGTCCACTAACCCTCACTTGTCCAGCTCACCATAAAACTTCGCTTCCTTCAACAGCCTTCGCAGGCCTGTCTGGTCCTAGTGTGTGTCCCTGTCCTGGGAGTTTAGAACAGGGCAGCAGCCTCTCAGCTCCCAAAGCATGAATGGCTGGCACTATCCGTTTGTCCCTAGAGTTGGGTCATTGGGCTTTTGCTGTGAAAGGATTTTGACTTTAGCATGAGATGAAGTCTGTTAATGTTGCTAGCCTTGCAGAGCCATTAGCTGCAAAGGGCTGGCACTCCCTTCCGCATGACCAGGAGGGCAGGGATTCTCTCTGCCCAGGTGGGTAGAGACAGTTTTGGTTTGCATTCTGCCCTACCTCTTACTAGCTCTCTGTCTTTGGCAAGATTTTATTATTTATTTTGGCAGGCCTGGCGGATTGAACCCAGGGCCTAATGCATGCTAAGGCAAGTGCTTTACCACTATGCCATGCTCAGCCCTTATTAAAATTGATTACATATTTATTTGTTTGTGTGTGTGCATGCACACCATAGCATATGTGCACAAGGCAGGGACAGTTGTTTCTCTTCCTGTGCCCTTCGGATCTGGAGATCTAACTCAGGTCACATGGTTTAGCAGCAAATGCTTTTTACTGGCTGAACCATCTCACCAGCTCAACCCTCCTTTTTTGACAGCCTCACTCTGTTGACTGTCCTTAAACGAACTCTACTGCCCAAATAAGCTTGAAATTACAAGTACTGTTCAATCTTTTGTAGTAGCTAGAATTCTAGGCATGTGCCACTGGAACTGGCTTTGGTAGACGATGGTGATGATGATGGAGACAGGGGTTCTCTAAGTAGTTCTCACCATTCTGGAACTCATTATGTAGACCAGGCTGGCCTTGATCTTACAGAGATCTTCCTGCCTCTGCCTCCCAAGTGTTGGGATTAAAGGCATGCAATGCTACTCCTGGCTTTAGCAGATCATTGAATCTTTCTGAGTCATGTATTTCTCCTGTGTCAGATGGAAATGATAATAACAGCCCTCTAAGACTGTGGAGTTCAACAGGGTAGATGCTGTATGTGTGTGCCTGGAACTGAGTGGTTTCTCTGTCCATGCTCCTCCTCCCATGTACTTCCCCTCGTTGCTGGAGGGTGGGGCTCAGACCCAGAAGACATCTGAGGGGCTGATTTACCTTGCAGCCCTTAGCAGGACATTGTGTTGGCAGGATGCTTCCTCCCAGACACCAGGGCCTATGGAGGAATTGTTAGAAAGCACTTCCTGTTCTTGAACCACATCAGCCTTCATGTTGTTTTTGCTCAGTTTGGCATTTGCTGTGTCCCTTCCAAGGGTTAGTTGTTGGTGCATCTAGAGATTCCTGTAAGGCACCCTGCAGAGAGCTGTGGGTTTTCTGGAGAGGGAATGAGGAAACAGTGGTTTCACAATTCTGTGAATACCATCTAGAAAGCAAGCTCTCTTCCTCCCTAAGGCACAGCTTCCCTGCTTCCTTGAGTCTTTCCTCCAAGAGGAAGTACTTCCAGGGCTTTCAGTTGTGCATGAGCCAGGCTAAGTTAGAGGTCATGGACTGCATCCCGAAACCCAGCCCCAACACCAGCCTACACCCCAACCCTAACCCTAACCCTAAATCCAACCATAACCCAAACCCTAACACCAACCCTAAAACTAATTTCAGCACTATCCAAATGCTAACACCAACCCAAACCCTAAACACAAACCTAACCCCAACCCTAATGCAAACCCTAAAACAATTCTAACCCTAACCCAAACCTTAAACACAAACATAACCCCAAAACAAACCCTAGCTCCCTAAACCTAACCCAACCCTTGCCATAACTCTAGCCCTCATGGATAGCTCTCTTGCTTCCTCCAGTCTTCATTCTATGATGAAATACTGTAAAGACTTTTAGTTATTCTTCTGCTTCTCTCTGAAAGTTCATGCACCAGAGCTAAACTGGAGGTCAGGGACTTCTTCTCTAACTGTAAACCCAACTGCAACCCTAACCCTAACCCCAACCCTAACCCTAATCCTAATTCCAACCATAACCATATCCCTAGCATTTTAAAAATATTTTTTAATTTATTAATTTTTACATTCCAATCTCAGTTTCCCCTCCCTCCTCTCTTCCCACTTCTCCCCTATGCCCCCTCCCATCTTCTGCTCAGAGAGGGTAAGGCCTCCCCTAGGAAGCCTGTCTGTCCTATTACCTCGTTGAGGCAGGGCCAAGGCACTTCCCCACCCTCCACACCCCTGTGTCTAGGCTGAGCAAGGTACAGAATGGGCTCCACTAAGTCAGTTTGTGCATTAGAGTTAGATCTTGGACCCACTGTCAGTAGCCTCATATATTGTCCCAGTCACACCATTGTCACCTATATTAAGGAGTCTAGTTTGGTCTTATGCAGGTTCCCCATTTGTCAGACCAGAGTCAGTGATGTCTCAGTAGCTCAGGTCAGCTGATTCTGTGGGTTTCCCATCGCGGTCTTGACTTCTTTGTTCATAGTATTGCTCCTCCTTCACTTCGATTGTACTCCAGGAGCTTGGCCCAATGGTTAGTTGTGGATTTCTGCATCTGCTTCCATCTGTTTCTGGAAGAGCATAACCCTAACATTAATGCTCACACTAACTCCAACTCTAACCCTAACCCTAACCCTAACCCTAAGCCTAAGCCTACTTCTTTCAATCTTCCCACCACAGTGAAGTACCTTGAGGGCTCTTAAGTTGTTTCTTCTTCTTCCCTCTCAGAGTACTGCCCCAGAGCTCATCTAGAGGTCATAGACCGCTTCACTAACTCCAAACTTAACCCCAGCACTAACACTATCTTCAACCCTAATTATAACTATGGACCTAATCTAACTAAAGGCCTAACCCTAACCCAAAATTAGTGCCAACCCTAAACCTAACCCTAACCCCAAGCCCAATCAAAAATCTGATTCCAACCCTAATCCAAATCTTCACTTCAAACTAACCCCAAAGCTAATTCTAACCTAACTAAAACCATACCCTAGCTCAAACTCTGATCCTAACCATAATTCTAACCCTAGCTCCTACTTTAACCTTAACGCTAACCTACCCTAACCATAGCTCCAACCCAACCTAACCCAAATCCTAACTACAACACAAACCCTAATCCCATCCATAACCCTACACCTAACCCTAGCCCTAACCCTAGCTCCAAATCTAATCCTAACCCTAACCCTAACCCTAGCCCAAACCTAACTCTAACCCAATCCTAACTCTAACCCAACTCCTAACCCTCACCCTAACCCCAAACCTAATCCTCACCCTGACTCCAACCCTAACCTTCACCCTAACCACAACCCCAACCCTCACCCTAGCCCCAATCCTCTCCCATGCACTGTGGTCTCTGAACCTATTAACCTCTCCTCTGTAGAGAGCTCCTCTGCAGGTTGGCCTGAATGCACAGAATGCCTCTCATCTGAAGACCCAGGGCAGAAATTGCCCTTCCTTTGTGGTTACTGTTCAGTGAGGAAGTGTTCAGGATGGTCAGTCATAATTAGTTTTTGGAATTGCCTTACCCTTTCCCCGAAGAGGAAATCAAAGCCACAGAGCCAAGCACTGCAGTCATTTGACAGTGAGGTTAACTTTGACAGCTATTGCTCACTGTGTGGCGATGGGCTGGAGTCATTCAGAGCTCTGAGCTTTGTGGGGCAGACTGGTGTGCCTAACATGGGTATCTTGGATTTGATCTTTCAGCACCTCGCTGACCCGACAAAATTCATAGAAACGTTGAAGACAGGGCTGTCACTCTTTGAGTCACCAGAAGGCCTCAAGGCAGCCACCTAAGGTGACTTGAGGGGTTCCAGACTATTGTGAGCTTTCTCTTTTGCCTGCCACTGGCAAGGGTCAAAGAAATGTAGCCGTATCTTTAAATTCAAACAGCTTTTGCTGGCACCAGGAAGCAGTGCTGGGTCCCCACCATCATGAGGGGCCCGTTTTGAGTGAGGACTGACAGGTCCATGGTGATCAGCAAAAGTGCTGAAGTGAAGGCACTGGAGGAGAAGGAGGAGCAGAGTGGCTGCAGGGGTCTAAAGGAGGAAAGCTTTGATAGTGGAGTTAAGAACCTCAGGAAGTAGCCAGGCGTGAAGGCGTATGGTGATAATCCTAGCACAGAGGAGGCAGAGGCAGGTGGATCTCTGAGTTCAAGGC